GCATGGATGCCCCGGAGGGTCCTAGAGTCATGCGTTGGAGCTCGGACGACGTGTCTGACCCATCCTCAGCCGCGGATTCGTAGCTCGAGGACGCAGCTTGGCTGATCCTCGGCGACGACACTGGATCCATAGTGCGCGAACTTTCTCCGGTGATGGGCTTAACTCTGACACGGAGGTCCCGCGTCGCGGATACTATGAGATCCAAGTCTAGCTCGAAGATATCGTCTGCGTCGAGCGCACCAGCTACGATGCCTGACTCCGTAAGCAAACGTAATAGATCTTTGACTGCCACCAACTTGTTCGCCGTTTTCGTTGGTGCTCTCACCGGTTGATTTGGATCTTCGATCTGTCGTGGTATCAGGATCCGCATGACAGGATCTTCATGCAGAAAATCGCGTAGAGCTTGGTGGCTATACACAAACTCGAGATCCTTGTCGGACCAGCTTGACCTGGGTCCAGCTTGGTCTTCTTCCGACTCTGGAGCTTGCATCCTCTTCCGCGTAGTCTTGCTCGTTTTCGTCTTCTTCCTCGTTTCTTCGACTAGCGGGGTTGGGTTTAGGTACGGTGTTGGCTTAACCGGTGAGTCTGCAAATGCATACCGTTTCGCCTTCACTTCCCTTGTTTTGTTAGCGGATCTTGACTTGCGTCAAGATCCGCAGGGGTCCCCGAGGGGACCTGGGGAGGATAGAGAGGTTTTTCTTCTAGATCCGGATCCGGATCCACCTCTCTTCCGTCGACAGAGTTCCTCCCAGGACTCTATCGATCCGCGGATCTTGTTTCATTCAGCAGCGTCTTCGTCGATCCGACCTCCGACGACGCCTCTTCCCCTGGCTCAATCTTCACTTGAGCATCTTCTTGGGACTCACGGAGAAATCCCGAGTCACCAAAAGACCCGGGCACGCGCACCATTGTGGTGTAGCGGGATCAGCAAAATCTGCGAGATTGCTGGATCCAACTTACCAACTGCGCCCAGACACCGACTAACGGAGGGGGTCCCCCGATGATCCGTATTCTGCTGAACTTTCCTCACCTTGTGTACCCGTCGGTAGGGCGGGATCTTGCTCTCTCGGTAACTTCCGAAGAGTTCAAGTGGTGAAGCTTGAGTGTCTTGGCGAGACGTGGGGATGGGGTGGAGCAGCAGTGGTAAAAGCTTCACTCTGTGTCCGTGGTTAGTTCTGGATCCTAAGCGAATATTCGAGCTTAAGTGGATCCAGGGTCTAGATCGTGGATCTGGCCGTAGGGTTGCCTTGCGGGTGTGTTCCCTTGCCTTTGCGTCGTACTTGCCGCCTCCTGTGACGGGATCTTGAGAGTTGAGATATTCTTAGGTAAACCCGGCCAAGTAGTAAATCCGGTTAACCTGTCGGATCTGCACGTGTAAAGGAAAAGCTCACTAGGTTGTAGGATTTGGCCAATGTATTATCCAGTTATCACTACCAACACTAGATTCGCAATTCCCAAACTTCTCCGAGCTCCTACGGCCAATGTAGTTCCGATTCTTGAGGGCAGGAAGGCTCTTGCGTGTTACTGTGCAAATAGAAGTCTGTATTGATACTTAAGCCTATACCTGCCTGGATTCCTACCTTCTATGTCTTCTTCCTGCTAAATCCCTTATCAGGCTCGGCTGCATGTTCTTTCTCTCCTTGACCCATCATCCCAGCTGTATTATCCTCAGATCCACCGGATCCATGGCGTAATCATTATGGTCCCCCTATTATGGGTACACTCATCCCGATCCAGGTTGCTGTAAGTGTGTACTCGTCATAGATCTGAGCTCTCCAATCCTCCAACATCGTCTTGTGATCGTCTGTGATCTCCATTGTCCCACGAAAGTTTGAGTTCCACTGCATCCACCATCCCTGTATCCTGGATCCAGGTCCCTCTATGCGGGATCCTCACCTCCTTGGATCCGAACTCGGAAGTATGGGATCCGGGACACCTCGCGGTGGATCTTGCCTTCTCGTTAGTCGTGGATACTAGATCCACCTCTAGATGACATCTACCATCATTCCTTCATAGGATCCACACTCGATCCACCCGTACATAGTATATCCCATATCCACCTAAGTGAACTCAGGTAAGGGTGGATCCGAGCTATTCCTTGGTGGATCTTGCCTTCCCGTACGTCACCCATACCAGATCCATCGTCGGCTCATACGGGATGCTGCTCGTCATGGCCAATCCACCTCAGGCAACGTGCATCCGCGCCGGGCGATCCAAATCCTCTCTAATCACTTGAAATTATCACTGATTCGGGATAAGTGACCCCTTCTTAGGTCCATTCTCTTATTTCTGAGAAAGCACTTCACCACACGGCGACCTCACGAGTCCATCACCGAAGCTTCCATGGGCGTATCCATCGTCGTCCTTGCAGGTGTCGTTCCTTTGCTGGGCGCCGGTTGGCGTGTCCATTGCTCTAGGACCGTGTTGGACATCTGCCCACGAAGAGGTGTCCCAGACACAGGCTTAACCGTCCTTCTCGTTCTCGGAGACGAAGACGCAGCGTCGAACATGTCCTCGCCTTCCACGTGGACCGTTCGTACCTCGTACTCTCCCGTCTCGGGATTAGCTCGCTGCGGCGTGCCACGTTCCTCGCCATCTCCCTGGCGTTCCCTTCCTTGAGGTCTCTGCGGCGTGTCGCCGCCAGGAGCTCTCTCAGCGCGCACTTCCTCCTCCTCCTCCTCGAGGATCTCCACGGGCTACGTTTCCAACGGAGGATCCTATACCCCTTCACTGGCTTCAAGTCCTCCGCCGGACCATCCACGAGCGCTCATCCTTTTCCCACTTCTTTCTCCTTCTTCCTCCTTCCACCTCGGTTAAGAGTTTAAAAGCTCCTTACATTTCAGCAGATCCCTCGTATGTGGCGGTCCAGCTCCAATTCCCGCCACGACCAGCTGCTTCACGACCTCACACTTGGAACGTCACTGACTTGACCGTAGGTCCCGCTTGCGTGGACGTGGTCTGGAGAGTCTGGAGCGAGTAGACCTTCTGCAGGCAGTCGGTCAGCATCGTTAATCCACCATCTAACTGTACACCGTGACAGCTCTCAGCCACCACACACACAGAAAAGGCTAACACAAACGACTGCAACGCGATTGAGTAGCAGCAAGACAGCTACGATCAGCCCGCTCTCAACGTGAGTTCGACAGCACGTCCGAATACTACAGCGACCACTTTTGGATGAAGGACTTGGACATTAGTGGCCGCGTGTTGCGACAGACGTGGATTCGACCGCCTCAACCACGTCAATCACCCTGTAGACCGACTTGAGTATAATACAAATACTCAAATAATACATATGCATTACCACAGTACAGGTAGCGCCAACTGTTACATTTACTGTAGGCACACCACTTTTTTTAATGGTCCAACGCAAATATTAATAAACCTACACCTAAACTACCGCCGCGTATTATCTTAAACATCTACTGCAGCAACCTGTCTGTCCGTCACACTAAATTGTCGTGCCTGTCACGCTTTTCCGGACAAATCATTGGATAAAATGATTTAAATATTTCTACTGGTTGCCGAGCGCAGCGAAGGTGGCTTTAATTGGTTAAAACTAGATTGTGTTGTTGCATCAATAAATTCATGTGTTTCCCAGTTTACATATGGGGATTTGCACAAGGCTATACATTATAATATCCAAAGGCATCGTTTAAATATTTTTTACTTTTTTATAATGCATGTTGCTATTGATATTTGAGTACTAAACGGAGGGCAGGGTGCCTATCGTACACGTAAGCATGCGTGATTCCGAGGACATGGCTTAAGTATACTACTATCCATGTGTACCCTATCTACGCATATCTATCTAGTGCAGTAATCGTTAGCCCTGTGGTCTTTTTTATGTCATATCTGAGTCTTATATACGTTTGTCTGTTCTTCGTAAAGTTAATAATTCTAGATTTGTGGTGTAACAATCTTGTATGACCGTTCGACAACAATACCGTTAGGCATCTTGTACTCTACCTTTCTTCTCTTCGTTGGTCTTATAAACAATAATCTAATACTTCTAATAGGTAGGTCCTGGTCGACAAGGGCGTAGAATTAAGTTTTGCATGCAGCGGTAAGATACCAGCACAACAGGAGAGGTGCCAATTATGGTTCTATAAGTAGGCCCGTAAAGAAACGTTTATCAACTTAAAGCCTAATCTACGTTTAACCATCCTGGAATCATCGTTTAAGTATCAAATAAAAATACCGCCGTCAACAACAACAACAGCAAGGCGTCTTGCGACGCATCGTTATATCCAAAGGCTATAACCATAACAGGCACATATTCGAGTGTCTTATGACTGATTCTGAATCAGCACAAAATGAACACACTTCAATGCATAAAAATATGCTACAGCTTGAATATTTTATTAAATATTCAAATTGTAGCACTTTTTCAAAGTAGCGAGTTTGGTATGCGAAGTGGTTAATACAGTAGTCAGTTTATTACAAGCTTAACCAGGCAGTACAAGCGGGTATTTGATGCAAGCTGGACAGATATTCTTTGTATTGATGCAATTTAGGTTTCAGAAACGGCCCGTGAAATCGAGCACGACGCTGAACTAAATATATTATTTAGCGTTTTTAGACTGGTGGAAGATTAAGGTACAGTGATAGCCAACAACAATAAAGAGACTTTGCCAAGATCACTAGCGTAAGCGTTTATGAGCATGGTAAGTATGTGCTAGGGGTTCAGTCTTTTGTACCGGTAGAAATATATACACGGCTTACTGGGAACTCAGCATTTTGTAGCAAATGAAACGCAGATTTATGAAATCTAAGAAGTCAATTTAGGCACACAGAGGATTTGGACTAATTATCCCGCCGAAGCGAAGCGAAGGCGGGGAGACAAAAATCTAAAGTAAAATCTAAATTACCGCCGCGTAGCGGCGGCGCTCGGCTAGTAGTAATACAGAAGCGGCGGCACTCGGCTAGTTTTACAAGTTGACTGAAACGAATTACTGATGGTTGGCATTCACATTTGCGGTCTAAAATTTAGACTCTAAATGGCGACGTCAACCTCGGACACAGCACTGGTTGCCAGAACGACGATGTTCCGCGACCTTCCACTGCATGCGGACGTTGGCCATGCGCTTACAACCATGCTCTTCCGGCGCCCGTCGCCCATTCAGCTTCATGCGCTGCCCGTGGCCATGTTCGGCAACGATGTCATTGGCCAAGCTAAGTCTGGCACGGGCAAGACTGCTGTTTTCGGAGTCGCCGCCATCGAATACACTATCCGCCAGGTGGAGCAGCAAAACCAAAAGATCGAGGGTCATGTAGTGGGAATTCCGTTGGCTTTGATTCTGGCGCCAACTCGGGAGATCGCGGTTCAGATTGAGAGTGTGTTGCGGCAATTGGCTCAGTTTCGACCAGATATCGTCATCCGCACGTGCATCGGTGGTCTATCAGTAGCTCAAGATCAGGTAACCATAGTGGTGTGAGGTACAGAGACGGATGACTGTATTGATTCGTGTGGATTAGATATACTTGGCAGCCGGGTGCCATATTGTGGTTGGCACGCCAGGACGTGTGAAGGCCCTTGTGGATCAGCACTCACTACCATGCAGTGCCATTCGGCTGTTGGTTCTGGATGAAGTGGATAAACTCATGGCGCGAGATTTCGAGAAAGACGTAAGAGTGCATTAAATCCCTAGAATAGTGTGGGTATTGATTGGCAACATTAACTACGTGTGAAATAGCTCCAGTATATCGCAGACGCTCTTCCCGAGAGACGACAAGTAATGACGCTACTCTTGATCAATGGAGAGTGGTCATTGTCATCAGTTTAACCTTTTTTTTTTGGCTGGTGTCAGACACTAGCGTTCTCTGCTACGTTCACTCCTGACCAGTTATTTGCAGTTGCACAACTGATGAGGACTCCACAGGTAACTTGTAGTTTATTTCACATAATTGTGCTCAGCAGTTGAAATCATATGTTTCACCAAATTCTCTACTGCTGTTTCAGATCGTGCGAGTTCGAAGACCGGACGACGTCACCACTGAGTTTATTTCGTCTGCTGAAGACCTCGAAAACTGGAAGAAACGAGAACAGTCAAATTCCCCAGAGCTTTGGCTTCCCCATGTACGCCAGTTCTACAGCGTTGTCGATATACCATCCAGGAAAGCGGCAGGTGACGACATTCTGAATATGAAAGCAAAGGTGGTGAAGCTGACAGCATTGCTGTCGGAGATCGTGTTTATGCAGTGCATGGTGTTCTGCAACGGCAAATTTCGTGCGGAAGCGTTGGCCACAGCTCTTGCAGCGCACGGTTGGCCAGCGGCAAGTATCACCGGTTCACAGCCTCAAGCGACACGTTTGGAGGCAATGGAAGGCTTTAGAGCATCACGCTCGCGTGTGTTAGTGTCTACCGACCTCACTGCACGAGGCATTGACGTCGACAAAGTCAACGTTGTGGTACACTGTTACGAAAGAGAGAGATGCTTAGAAAACTTGATCTCTGATTGTCGTACTTGCAAAATTGTAGGTAAACTTGGATTTGCCGCGGGACCCAGCAACATATTTGCATCGTGTTGGAAGGACTGGGCGGTTTGGTGGGAAGGGATTAGCTGTAACGCTGCTATCGAGGAAAGAAGTACAAGGAGTTCACTTACTTGCTCGAGTTTTTGGAATGAAGATCAATGAACTACCCAGTCCCGTACCCCCCGAGATTTATACCTACGCAGCTCCAGAGGATACTGGCGACGGTGAAAATGCAGAGGAGCCTTCAGACGGTGTAGCCGCCGAAAGTTTTTCTGTGGAGGGTACAGGTGAACTGTGCAACTATGAAGGCAGTGATGACAAAGCAGGATTGGTGACATGCTCTGCGGCCGCTGAAATATTACTGGCTAAAGAGACCGAGGACACAGATACAACAATTATAAGGCACAACTGCGAAGACGTAGTGGAGAACTCAACATCTTGCGCAGCGAAAGGGGGAACGGGTGCGGAACCGTTGTCCAGAATGAATCTAAGCGGATATGATTTGGAAGAGAAATCATATAAACGCTGGGCAGATTTCCTATAGCATTCTGGGATCCCGGTGTTATCCTCCCCAAAGAGTCTTCGAGATTTTCTTTTTTCAACATCCACTCTATAATGGGAAAGGATTGGTTTCGAGTAAATGTTGGATCAACTTCACTAACACGCACTTCTCTCAGGACGCTTCATTTTGCGCTATGTAGCTTCGAGTCGAAGCCAGTCTGTCGAAGTCGTACCATTAAGATGGCGCGGAACAGCGCTCCTGAAGCATGCCACTGCTATTGCCACCGTCTTCTCTTGTTGTCTTAGCCGTCGTGCCGACGCTACTGCACGCACCATTTGTTGAGCACGGTGTCCAACATTCCAATTGATAGCATAATTGGGCAGTATGGACCGTCATTGGCAGACACTGGGTTCCCACTGTCGAATAACATGCTATTTTTTGCGGCGAGCTTGCGGTGTTCCCATGTTTTTAGTTTACTCGATAGATATCTACGGGCACGTAGAAATTCCACATTGACTTGTGTCGCGATATCGTAACCTGAAGTAACGATGAAGTAGCGGCGTGTGATTGGTCATTAAAATGAAGTTGAAGGCAAAATTTAATTTCTCCGTTAGTTCGTTCTGCAGAGGCGACGCTGTCCCCGGGTCGACTCGGTGGTGCAGACCGTCGCTAAGGAAAGGAGAGCAAGAACATCGCACGACGCTGCCGCCCAAGTCAACGGAGAGAAGCCACAAACACCCGGCAGGGCGGCGGGAAATCTGCCATTTTCAGCACTGAAAATGACGGTCCTAATTGAAGGAGCGAAGATACGACTTTTTAGCGCTATTTGTCTCGCATAAGTGAAAAGGTCAGAAATGATGGAAACATACTATTTTCTAGTTGTTGATGTTGCCTCGGCTTAAATTAAGAAGTCCTACCAGTAATGCGTTGGTGCTCGGATCCATAAGTCGATGTTGGTAGGAGAATTGATTGCGATTTGGGTAGTTTCTACTCTCAAGTCATCAAAACTGCTTTGAAAGCCATGATTCACAATAGTAGCCTCTTCATACTAACTTGCAGCACTTTACAAGGCAAAGTTAACGCCATCCCACGACATTTGAGAATAACATCATTTCAAGAGTGTTACGTGATAAGGCTTCATTCTAAGATCTGTAGCGTATTTTGGTTTTCTGATAACTTTAAACAGGTAAATAGAAGACCATTTAGCAAAGTATGATTGGAATTACCTTTAGCCTTCAGGCCCAGGCCTTCCGATAATACAACTGCAATGAGATTCTTGCTTTTTTGTGAAATCAATACTTGCAGGGAAACATTTGATATTGACAAATACGCTATTGTTTTGATAATAGCAATATCACACCACTACTTCCAAGATACATTGCTGGTTGGTGAAGGGGTTGTCATAGGCATAGTGAATTGGATAATGAGGAGGACTGATGTGGATGCACCTCCTAGGACTTGCCAACCAACCAAGCAGCGGTTGGCTCTCAGTTTTGCTTAGCTGGGATAGAGTAGTTTTGTGAAGCATGGGCTACAAATAATTTATGACGATACTTGAAATATCTTACTGAAAGTTTTCATCACAACTGAAAAATAAATTATATCTAAATATTGACATATTATTCTCACTGCAATGTATTATTCGGAAGGCCTGTTCAAGCCTCAAAACGGCTGAAAGAACAATTACCACATCAGAGTGCAAGACTGGCGAAAACAGTTTTATTATACACGCAACTAGTAGAACTTTGACTAGCGCTACTTTGATATGGCAAGCCTAGCATCAATAATGAAGGCATAAAAGCCCATAACGCAGCAGAGCTACGACCCAATTGCTATCAACCCTACGCAGTATTGTGTTACTTGCCTGTTGGCATGATCTCTAATCACATTCCTGGTCGACCTATACCTATCACGCCATGCCAGGGACCAATTTCTAGTGTCATGGCATGGCACGCGTGGAAGTGGTAGCCAATCAATAACTCAGAATCGCTGTAACTAATTTGTGTTACTTTTTCTTGTCAAAACGCGTTGTCGGCTACTGCTATTTGATTGGCTTGCTAATTGCGGCGCTTGTCAAAAAATATTTTGAGAAATCATAGCTGATTCTGGTTACGCTGGGTATGTATTGTCCGATAGTGCTGTTACGGGAGTAGGAGAATGGAAATTTTTACTCGAAGTGTCGCCGAATAAGGGCCTTACTCGACGTCAATTTACTCGAGAAAACCCCGCACCTCTATATTACCCCCAAATTATCTTCTATTTGTGATTTCCTTACAGTCACCGGAGGGAGGACGTGTTCACAACTCGTCGGTGTTCACTGTTCGCACCGCTATGCCTCCTGTAGCACCTCATTTTTTTTGGATAGTTTGCTACAAACTTTGTACGGTGAGCCAGCGAACTCCCGGTAAAAATAATTAATCCAAATTTGGTACTGGGAGTGGGGGTCACCGCCAACTGTTTCACATTATGCATTTTCAACCGCGCTCGAGATCCCATACATGTTCCGTTAAATAACTGTAGACCGCCGTATTGGCGGTACAGGTGGCTTCAGCCAGACAGTACCGGGTCCAACGGAGCTCTCAGCCACCACACGGCTAACACAAACGACTGCAACGCGCTTTAGTAGCAGCAAGACAGCTACGAACAGCTCGTTCTCAACGTGAGTTCGACAGCACGTCCGAATACTACAGCGACCACATTTGGATGTGCGACAGACGTGGATCCGACCGCCTCAACCACGTTAATCATGCATTACGACAGTGTAGTTGATGTGGTAGCCCGGGTCACCGCCAATTGTTTCTGTATGGGAAGAAAAATTATGCCTTCACACCACTGCAGTTTTTGTAATCACAAATGTGGTTTATATTAATTACCATTATGTATGGACGGGTTTCTCAAATTCAAATGCATAATGCATGGGAGCCTCGAAATTTGAACTGCGATCCATTAAAGGGAGAGAGCGAGCATGCAGTGCTATTATGTTCGCAAGCCCAGACGACAAACAAATCCAGTGCGACCAGTCCCTTTGATCTATCGCTTAAAAATTTTAATGTGCGATTAAGGAGGAGAATGGCTGCTACACAGGCCTGGAGTCTCCGTCGAATCATCGGGGCGGTCCGAGGAGCACTCGGAAGCGACCTTTCAGTCGCGTTTGTTTCCGTATTTTCAATTCCTGCGATATGTACGTTCCAATCGGCTTAACCACTTGAGCTCACTAAGGCTCGCATAAAGTACGACATCGGACTTAAACGGAGCACCAGGGTACCATCTGTAACTGTGTCTGTCGATTTTCAAATAGCTTGATTTTTTGTATCGGGAAACTAGTATTCAACCCAGGCGCCAGCTTCGGCAAATTTGGATAAAAATTACATGGTTTTGTACATGTAACCCTCCTTGTCAAATCTTATACAGTACTGCACCCCTTTTTTCGCCTTTGATAAACTTTCGGATGTAATGATCCTGAACCTAAATGAACTATGATTTGTACGCTAAAATGTGATTTGCTTGCAAATCCGATATACCACCCCCGCGAAAACGGGGTGCAGTACTGTACTACATGTACGTAGTAGTTCTTGCTCCGCCCTGAGAACAGCATAGCCCACTCTTACCTCGGTCCCGCGCGTCAAGCGGCTCCCTCTACTAAGGCGCTGTGAGCGTCTGCAACCGGCATTGCAACACCTACCTTAGCTTCTCTCTGTCACCTCGCTTCTTGCTGATGACCACTGCGGGCAGCAAGTGCGAGTTGCCGGCGTCACCCGCAACATCATCGTCGTCTTCTGTCGCCAACAACAGCAGCAGCAATGCATACACCAACCCATTGCAGCGATATATCTCAGCGAGGGAGGTAGCTCGGGAGCAGATATTCCGCCAGAAGGACATACCGCGTTCGATCAGTTCCACCGCCGCGAAAAATTCCACCAGTCAAGCTTCGGTCACCGGGTCGTCATTATCCGCGTCCAACAGCCCGCGCTTTTCGGCGCTGCCGCCAATAACCGAATCTATCCTCAAGGTGGTTCTCATTGGTGACTCGGGTGTAGGCAAATCCAATCTTGTCATGCGTTTCACCAAAAACAAATACATGCCACACAGCGTGCAGACCGTGGGCTTCGAGTTCGCCACCAAAACAATTCGCGTCGGAGACCGCAGACTTAGAGCACAGATATGGGATACCGCTGGACAGGAGCGATTCCAGTCGCTCACTGCTGCCTATTACCGCAACGCAGTGGGCGCCATGATCGTCTACGACATCACGAACCGCAGTTCCTTCGAGCACGTAACCGGTTGGCTAGCTCAGGTGCACGAGCATTCGCATGAGAGCCTCGTGCTGATCCTCGTGGGGAATAAATGCGACCTGGCTCACTTGCCGGAAAGTAGACAAGTTTCAACACTTGAAGCCGCGAGGTTTGCAGCGAAACATTCGATGGAATTCCTTGAGACATCGGCATTGGACGCGACCAACGTCGTGGACGCCTTCAAGAAGCTCATTGTCCCAGTGGGACGTCTACTGTCCCCGACTGAACCGAAGAAAATAGTGCGGTTACCCCCAGGATGGAGACGCGTTCTTTCAAGGACCAGACCGGGCGAATACTCATACGAGAACCAGTACACCAAGGAGCGCATCTCATTTGCGCCGAAAGAACCTGCAAAGCCATCGCAGCAAAGTTTTCGAACGACTTGGAATGGATCGAAGAGCGGATCTACGAGTGCGGTTACCGTCACACGCGAGAGTCTCCAGAAACAGCATCAGAAGGCATACCTCGCACAGAGTCAGACACCGCAATGTGGAGTATGTGTAAGCGACTGCATTATATTGTAGATGCTTGACGGCGTCGTGATCGTCAGGTGTGTTCTCCTAATAGGCATTACTATTGATGCTCTTACAAGAAAATAAAAAGGAAGGTTACCTTTAAACCCAGTCGGCCCGCTGGTAGGACAAATACAAGGACACAATCTTTACTGCACTCTCTTGGCAATACTGTCCCGAAAACCGAGCTTACATGAGACTGCGTCAAACAAAATGATACTTACGAACCTATTATATTACTAGCCGAGCGCCGCCGCTACGCGGCGATAATTTAGGTTTAGCTCTACTTGCTTTGGCCCTCCCGGCGGGCGGGGATCCCGCCTCCGCTACGCTTCGGCGGGATAACTAAAAAAAACGATGAAACCATGTGATTATTTTTAATTTCATTACTTTGGGTCAGCATGATGCTTACCCGGTTTAAGAAATAATTATTCTAATGATCTTGCATCAAGATTCTTGGTGCAATCTCTTTTTTATTGCTGGCTATCAGTGTATCTTCATCTTTCACCCAAGACCACCAGCACTTCAAATAACATCTATACAAACGCTTCACAATATGTTTCGTTTAGCGTCGTGCTCGATATCTCGGGCTATTTCTGAGCTGCTATGAAACTTAGCTCATACCAGTACAAACGATAGTAATGGCCTGTCCATCTTGTACTACTTACCTGCTTGTACTGCCTATTTCAGCTTGTAAGGAACTAAAGATTGTTCACTTCCATATCAAACTCAATGAAAGCTAAACTATATTCAAATTGTACTATTTTTAATGTATGTATTCAGAATTAACACTCGAATCTGTGCCAGTTATGATTGATTGCTGCTGTGCTGGTAATTTTGTATTTGATAATTTAACGATGAATTCAGGACTATTGGACGTCATTTAGGCTCCAAGTTTATTAACGTTTCTTTATGGGGTCTACTTAATCAACTATAATTCACACCTCTCGTGTTTTTTTGTTGTCTTGCCGCTCCATTTAAAATCGTATCGTACGCCTCTGTCGACGACACGTCCGCCAGTTAAGTAGTATCGGATTTTGCTGTCTTAACAACTCTTAGAAAACAATGGTTTACAGCAGTAACACATATGAGTTCATTTTATTCAACCCAAAACTATCTATCTATCTTTATGAATCAAGTGACAACGTTTATTTGCAGCGTTTTGTTCTTACGGCCAGCTTCTATTGTACATGAACTACGCTTTGGCAGCTCAGTCAGTTACCTCACTCTCAGATAATTTATTTACAAAACAGTTGTAGTTATTATAGTCATTGTAACTTGCAGAAACTATTAAGTGCAGAGTATTACATATTTTAGTTTAACCTCGAAAACACGCATTCCTACGTGTACGCTAAGCACCTTGCTGATAGTTTAGGATGTAGGGGCTACTTCATTTGAGAATAAGAAGCTCTGTCTGTTTAGCACTCAAATATTAAAAGCAACATTTTAAATATTAATACTTCGTAATATTGAAATGATGCCGCCTTCGGATAATGGATAGTCTTGTGCTAATCTCCATATGTGCTCTGTGAACCACATGAATTTACTGATGTAAGCTACATAATTCTGTTTTAACCAATCGAAGCCACCTTCGCTCCGCTCGGCAGCCAATGGGAAGGCTCAAAAATCTGAGCGTTTCGTGTGACGGACGGACGGACACCGTGCTAGCATGATAGTTTAGGACTAGCCGTTCGCCGCCGCTACGCGGCGGAGGTGGCAGGTTTTAGTCCAAGGGGAAATGGGCTCCCGCCTTCGCTGCACTCCGGCGTAAACATGATTTATGTAAACGTGATGTATTAAATGCATATGAAATTGAACATTCCTACTCCGAACCAAAGATCTGCCTGTAGACAATGTTCTGGGCGTAGACCCCATCCTCCTCCTCCAGCTTTGGGTACTCGACCAGCGCCTTGAATCTTGATCTTGAAGTAACTCGCGACATCGCAACGTACAGCTGCCCGTGGGAGAAGCAAGGCGTAGCAAGATACAGCCCCAAGTACTGCACCCTTTGTCCCTGTCCCTTGTTAATCGTCATCGCAAAGGCCGGTTGGACAGGAAACTGCTTGCGTCTCAAATGAAACGGAAAGCTCCGAATGTCTCCGTCACTGATGAAAACAATGCGGGGAATCAACACATGTTGCCCTTGTCGCTCACCTGTCATGATTGTGGCGTGGATGACATGTGGCTTGAGGGCCACAACTCGAAGCCGTGTTCCGTTGCACAGCCCTAGATCTGGATTCAGGTTCCGCATCATCATGATAGGCATTCCTACCTTGAGGGTCAACTTGTGGGGAGGCATTCCACTGATATTCATCGAGTGGAGTACCTCCTGCTCGAAGAAATTGCCGTCACCGTCGTCTTGTACAGAATCGGAAGACATGTATTCCCGCGCCTGTCCAGTTAATCGATCGGTCACCGCTTCATTGATGCGGTGCACGATTGCGTTCGTGGTCGTGAGGATCGTACGATTAGCGAAATACTCATCGGTAGCAACTTCGGGGTTGTTAATCTCGCCATACATCTCGTCGATGATCCGATCCATGCCTCTTGGAATAACACCAGGACGAATTTCCTGGTCCTCATCCTCAGGCACAGGTGGATTCTCAATCAGCATATCGCGCGGGATCTTCATGTAATCTCTTCCTAGGTAAGGAGTTACATCATGCCTTCCCTCCCCGACTTGCAGTAGGAGCTCGGAGAACGCAGCCATTTCCTCAGCAGTGTCTGCAGTATCAGCAGTTTGCACTCGCATGTTTTTTGTGAGACGGAACGTCTGGAATTGGGGCCACAGCCTAGACGACTTGAGGCAAGCGTCAATTGTCTCTACGGGTGTTCCATTCTTAACGACCGGGAGAATCTGGCGGAAATCTCCCGAAAGTACAAACACTTTCCCCCCAAAAGGCTCGGTACCGTTATCGAGTATGTCCCGCAGTGTTCTGTCTACTGCCTCGAATGCGTGACGATGAGCCATAGGTGCTTCGTCCCAAATAATTGAACTTGCATGCTTGATCAACTCCTGAATATGGGAGTTCTTCCTGATACCGCACGTCGAGCTCTCGTTTAATTTCAAAGTGATCTTGAATGTAGAATGAGCTGTCCTACCTCCCATGAGCAAGAGCGAGGCAATACCGCTAGACGCCACAGCGATGGCGATTTCCCCCGAGAGTCTGACTTTGGCCAGTATGGTTTGAAGCAGTGTGGATTTTCCAGTACCACCCGGGCCATCGACAAAAAATAGTTTCTTGCCTTCCTCCGGGCATTCAACCGCTTCAATAATCTGGTCGTAAACCACCCGCTGACTTTCGTTCATCTGGTCTTCTGTGTTTACAATCACCTCCAAAGCTGACGCATCGTATCCAGTGAGCTCACGACGTAGTAAACCGTTTTGGCGAAGCGCTTCACGAATCAATGTTGGGAACGACCCCAACGGAGGAAGTTCGTCGAAGTCAGCTACCGCATACCCACTCGATTGAAGTAGTTCTTGAATGCTCATCAGCGTTTCAAATTCGACCAACGCCGACTTGAAGGGGTCCATCAAAGCCTGATGTTTGCGTGCGAAGTCTTGGGAAAGATCCGCGAAAAACCGATCCCATAGAACACCAACATTTGCTGGAGCTGAATACACCAGAATGGTGACGAAGAGCTGGCGTAGTTGATACGGCATTTGGAAGTCAGCCGCTTCCCTCAAACACGAAACCCACTCGTTGTCATTCTCCAAGTAGCCAGCCTCCCGCGCCGCAATTTGGAATGTGGGACAGACAATCCCGTTAACCGTTCTCAAGTCTTCAAACGACGTTGGACCTCTACGCTGACAGAGCAGTAGCCGAAGGTAGAACCGCTCCATATCTCGAGGAGACACGTGAATCATGCGACCAACGGCAGCTTGATACTGTTTCCGGCGAGCCCACCTTTTCGGTTGCCCTTTCTCCGGCGCTTTCCAGCAGAACTCTTTGGGGATATCCTGATACAGCATCGTCCTGGCAATATGATTCTGAGGCTCTTCATTCGCACACAACTCAAAGAATATGGTCAGCATCGTGTGACTACCACGTTCCAAAACCGCCTCCGGGTTTTTTGTCTCTCGAAAGCAAATTGTCTGGCCTGGCTCGAGATGAACCGTAAGCTGTGTCACCGCATGGGTTTTCCCCTGAATCGTGAAATCGAGCAGGCGCATGCAAGCTTCCACCGGAGAAATGTACCGGGCGCTCAAGAACCGTAGAATCTCATTTGGTTCTCGACGCGCACTCTGCTGCCCTCCTCGGACTTCTTCCACAGTGAGTATAGCCATGTCGGGTCCTTTGTACACATACTTGTACAGGTATTTAACCGCAGTAATATCCGTGCACACTTCCACATTGATGTGGCAGTTGTACTTCTGGGATAAGTACGGGTTGTACGGTACAACCCACTTTTTGTCGTATTCTCTGCCTTTGAACTTTAGAACACCTTCTTGCCGTCGACGTCGTCTGTACACTGGATATCCGTTGGCATTGGCCTGTGTAACTTCTGCTAAGGGCTTCGGATATCCTTTGGTGCACTTGCCGTCCTTCATACACGCGCAGGAAGGGTTTGCAGGCACGCATGGACCATGGAGCATGCACGACATGACCGTCTCATACAGCTGAGGGTTTGTATCCTTATCTGGGATCTCAGCGCATACCATCTTGTCTACGATCTCGCGGGTTCGAGGTTTGTCTTCGTCAGCCAAAATAACCAGCACGTGAGCGTGGGGGAGCCCTCGTTTTTGAAACTCGACAACGTAAATCCGCGCGCGCACTCGCCCCAAAACACCTTGGTTTAAATCGTCAAGCGTCGCTTGCAGTTTCTGCTGCCACACGCGAGCCACGATGTCTGGTCGATCTTGAGCTGTCTGGATATTGGAAGGTATCGCTTCAAGAATCTCGTCCCATTTGGGGTTGCACGTTTCCGTCAGGAAGACGTCGGGCCGTCCATACTCCCGAACAATTGCCATCGAATCTTGATACGACTTGTACATGGACCGCGGGCTACCCAGGTGCGAAGCCGGTAGTATGATACGCTTGCCAACCTGATTAAGAAAGTGGGTAGGTCGTCCTCTGTTGCCTCCGTCCTGGTCCGGGTGCATTAATATGTTCTGGACCCGGTCGTATTCCGACAGCAGCACTTCTCCTTCCGCCAGAGCCAAAGTATCTTCGTTGAGCAAAGCGTCTTGAACACCCCTGTATTGATCGGCGCGAAGTGTTTTCGGATTGTCGGCCACCCAGCGAAGCTGTTCTTGCTCACATTTTGCA